TACAAATATACAGGGTTACAACTTTTTAATTGTCCTATACAGGTATATTTCTTAAATTAATCGTATCTTATCAAAAATGTACAGATTTTTATGATGAGCTCGGATTCCTTTTTAAATTTACAAAATTCCGAATAGTTCCGAAGATAATCGAAGAAAACCGACTTTATGCCATTTCTTTTTTTTAGTCGCATTTCACTTGTTTTTCAAAACTTTTGGACAAAAATGTGTTGTCTCATATTAAATGTGAGGAATAGATTTTTTGCTGTCAGTATTGACGTATTTCTAAAAATGTGTGCCGAGCGGTAGTTAACTTTTGTTTTTCTTATGGGCACCATATTGAATTTTTGGCCCCATTAGAAGAAAGGGAAAATTTATTTTACAACTATGTATAATTTATGTAGTTCATAAATAAATAACCAAGATATTAAATATAATAATAATTTTAATAAAAAAAAACATGTAGCCATGTGAAACATAATTTTTTTATATAACAACTTATTAAATAAATGGTAATTTTAACTTTTGCCTAGTGTATAGCTGATCCTTAATATAACTGTAAAAGAAAAAGTTCATGCGGTCAAATCAGGACTTCTCTGCGGCCAAGTAACTAGACCACCAGGTAATGGCATGCACTTCAAACATTTGTGATAAAATTTAAATTTACCAGTTATTGCTTATTCTATACTGTGTTGTTCGTTACTCTTGTTATTGTTATGTCAAAAAGTATTAAAAATAACAAATATTAAATTAATTTAAGGGTTGCGTTCGGTGTGCAGCAAAATAAAGCTCTCTCTCAACGGTAAAAATAAAAGTATTTTTATTGAAAACAACGTTAGTGAAAATGAAGTATTGTCGGGGCGAGCGCTCGCTGGAGAGTCCTGATATGGTGTCGTTCGCATGTATACGTATCTGGTCCTTGGCGCCAATCTGCAGTGGACCTCTTCCTGGAACCCTAGTGCGTCGCGGCTATTATTTGTCCTTGCAACTGTTAGACCGGTCCAGAAGGCGTCAGGCTGACACTCTTGACGTAATACTTAAAATGGGTCACTTGCGGACGTGTGTACCCACAAATTTATAGAAAAAACTCATATGTTTCACATGGCTACTTTTTTTTAATTAAAGTTATAATTATATACAAATCTTGGTTATATATTTAAGAAAACCCCATAAATTATACATCGTTGTAAAGAGAATTTCCCGTTTCTTCTAATGAGGCAAAAATTCAACATGGCGTCCGTAAGAAAAACAAATGTTAACTACCGCTCACCACTCATTTTTAGAGAAACGCCAATACTGACAGCAAAAATCGATTTCTCACAGCATTTAATATCAAACTACACATTTTTGTACAAAAATTTTGAAAAACTAGTGAAATACGACTAAAAAAATAAATAGTACAAAATCGGTTTTCTTCGAATAAGTATTCGGAACTATTCGGAATTTTCTATACTTAGAAACGAATCCGTGATCGCCATAAAATTCTGTACATTTTTGCCCCTTTAACCATTTCTGTAACTCTTAAAATAAGGAAGATACCTGTACAGGCTGTTACAAATTCGCTTCTCGCTACAGGGATCTCGGAAACGGTAAGAGATACGTAGTAGCTTAATCAGGGGACCAACATTATGCCTCTAAAAAATCAAGGTTAACATGATTAGTTTTCGAAATATTTGAAAAAAACCTAAATTTTGGAAATCCGTTTTTGTTTAAAACTCTAATCTTGTTGATGGTAATATTTTAAATAACTAGGTAGATTTCACAGTGTCTAACGACACTTAAAATGTACGATGATTCAATAAACATAGAAATCTAAAATTCGATAGAGGGCAAAAAGTTGCCATGAGAAAATGTTCTTCTTTTTTTAATAGCACCTCAAGCAAGGCTGAAATTAAACAAAAACGGATTTCCAAAATTTCGTTTTTTTTTTTCAAATATTCGAAAACTAATCATGTTAGCTTGATTTTTTAAATGCATAATGTTGGTCCCCTGGTTAAGCAACTTTGCCCCCATTTAAGCTATTTCGTATCTCTTACCGTTTCCGAGATCGCTGTAGTGAGAAGCGAATTTGCAACAGCCTATATGGGACAGTTGTAACCTGTATATTCCCATAGCCCATAGAGATTGTAAAATAAAAGTTAAAAACGTAATCAAATATATTAAGGAAATTTTTACTAATATTTATTATCTTTCTTAATGATTTTATAGATTGTCTATTTATAATAATAAGAATTGTATCAATCAAATATTAGCAAAAGGGGTCTATTTTTTGTTTAATAACTAATTCAATTAAACTTTAACCAATTAGTGCCACGCATAATTTATAACTAAAGTACAATAATTTTATTATTTACGAATTCTTCATCTGAATGAAAAAATATATTATTTTTGCGTATATTTAGGTAGGTGTTGGATCAGCTACATTTAAAATTTATCATGCCTTGCTTTGATATTAACTGAAAAGATGTGCATATACAGGGTGGTCCGAATTTTATGCAGGAAACTTCGAGGGCAGATTGATCTCTTTAAAATAATAGGTGTTTGCCTTATAAACATAGGTCTGGAACGGCCTCGTTTTAGAGATACAGGGTGTTGAAGTTGTTAAAAAAAATTGATTTTTTGTTTATATCTCCGGAATCTATTAACCGATCTCAATAAAATTTGGTGCAGATAATGTATGACAGTAGACCTTGCATTCCCTAAAATATGAGATCTAAAGGATGGACCAGTGGTGTACAACTGGACAGGGTCACCCCTTTTTTATAAAAAAAGCCTACGCCACTGTATTTTTTACAAGCTATTGTAACCTATTTATATTCTAATATACAAAAAAGGTAACGTGAATCTTCTCTTTAAAGTTCATCGTTCTCAAGTTATTCATACGAATACAATCTCCTTGAGACGGATATTTCTAACCATAATATTACAAGAATATTTATGTTTATGCTTAAAAGTAAGTGCAATTTGTAAGCACATCAAGAAAATTCTTTACACTCGTCGCTTTCATCTTTTTGGATTAAAAGGATGTTTGGAAAATCACGACGGCGCAGTGAAAGGCACATAAATGAAATTTTAAGAACATTGGGGTGAGTAAATCGAAAATTTGAAAAGTTCTACATAAGGATGGTAGAAATCCGTACCATTTACAACCTGTGCAAAATTTACTTCCGGGAGATGTAGACACACCTGAATTGTTAGTGGTTGTTTTAAAGTCACAACATAATCCAGAATTTTTACTAGAAATACTTTGGACCGATGAGGCTACGTTCACAAGGCGAGGGGTAGTGAATTTTCACAATATTTGATCACAAGAAAATCCTCATGAAATTGGAACAAGATCTTTTCAACACGAATTTTCTGTGAAAGTGTGGCTCGAAATAATTCGGACCCTTTTTCTTGTCACCCCATCTAAATTCACAGCATTTCTAAACTTTCTAGAAGACCATCTATTTGAATTATTAGAGGATGTTCCATTAAATATACCACAAAATAGCTGGATACAAATGGATGGTGCTCCTGCGCATTTTAGGAGAATAATACAAGAATGGCTTAAAAATTATATGGGGCGATGGATAGGTTGAAGACCAAATGCCAATGTCGACCATAATGGTGCAGAGAATTCAGTGTCTTGGCCAGCCAGATCGCCAGATCTAAACCCCCTGGACTTCTATGTTTGGGGTTATCTATCTAAAAAGTAAAGTTTACTCTACTCCAATAGATACAAGACCACAACTACTGCAGCGAATAGAAGACGGGTGTAATGAATTAAAAGAAAACCACCACATGATATTAGTTAGGTAATTCCATTAATCATTAATAGAAGTTGTCAGAAATGTATCGATGTGGATGGTTCGAATTTTGAACAATTGCTGCAAATACATAACGTTAATTTCATTTCTTGTTTAATTGTTTTTGCATGGTAAATGTATTTTTATTATTATTTTGATTTAAATTGTTCTTATTTGTAAAGATAGTGGATTAAGCTTCCAGGGGAAACTAAAACACACTAGGAACACTACATCACAGGTAATGTGGAAATAATTTTGTTGATCTGCTTACAAATTGCACTTACTTTTAAGCATAAACATAAATATTCTTGTAATATTATGGTTTGAAGTGTCTGCCACAAGGGGATTTTATTGGTATGAATAACTTGACAACGGTGAATCTTAGGGAAAAAATTCAGGTTACCTTTTTTACGTATTTAGTGCATTATAATATAAATCCGTTACAATAACTTGTAAAAAATACAGTGGCGCAGTTTTTTTTATAAAAAGAGGGCGACCCCTGTCCAGTTGTACACCACTGGTTGAACCATTAGAGCTCATATTATAGGGAATGCAAGGCCTACTGTCATACATTATCTGCACCAAATTTTATTGAGATCGGTTAATAGATTCCGGAGATATAAACAAAAAATCAATTTCAACTTTAACACGACAACGAGGCCGTTCCAGACCTATTTTTATAAGGCAACCACCTATTATTTTAAAGAGATCTATCTGCCCTCGAAGTTTCCTGCATAAAATTCGGACCATCCTGTACATGACGAGGTTACCTTTAGGGATTACGAAATTATTCAAATAATTTCAAGAGGTCATTGGGTATGCAAAACGTCTTGTCTCTAGAAATTTACCAAAAAAAATTTTATAAACAGTATATAACTTTTTCGAATAAAATTTGTTTTTAAAACTGTTTATTTCGGGACTTTTGAAACCAAACCAGTTTTAGCGAGCCACCCTGTATTCGCGTAAAATTAATCATACTTACAGTTGCGTATGTAAAAAGCAGATTTATTATTTTCTCAATTTAATTCAAAACTTGTTAAATAACCTCTAGCGCAACTAAAGTCCGTAGAATTATTTTTATAGCCCAGACTACCTCGTGCACTTCCGTGAAATCAAAATAGTCATCCAGAAACGCTTTTCGACCGAAAAGAATCAGTCGCATGCGACACAAAATATTGTCACCAAAAGAAAGGAGAACTAAAAGTTTGTACTCACTTTTAAACTCGATCCCTTCCGGCGGACAAGGTCCTTCCGACAGCAGACAAGCGGCATAGTAATTCACGATCCTTCTGTTATTAAGGATAGCGTCGACGTCAATATGGTCGTATTTGGAGGCGTAGTGCTGGGCGTTAGCCCCATCAATCAACCCAAGTAAAGTACCAGCAGCGACTAACACAGGAAGTAAACATACCATTGTTAACTATGGCACTTTTCACGGCGATTTAACAAGCGATTGAAGAACGGTGTTTATTTCAGCAATCGACGGTTGCAACTGACTTGAATGGGACTCTCTAAGAGGTAGCACGAGGGGACTTCTTGAGAAGTGGAGGAATTCAGAGGGTGTCCTTTCAGTCCCGTCCTGTCCCTTTCGTTTAATTCATAACGAACATGTTGTAGATCCTGAAAAGAAAAATAGTACAAATTAAAAGTTATAATACTAAAGTTAGGACTGGTAAATGTGTAGTGGCATTTGAAGTTTGTTTGTGTGAACTAAATGTGAATGAATTGCAACTGGTTCTGATTTGGTTCAGTGCTCCTTTATATACATATGTGAATATATATTTTATGGCCAAAAATAGAGAAAGAAGATAATATTCAAGTTTGTTAATTTCCTTAGATGTTTACCTTCTCGGATATCTAAAATTCTCAATGTTTACTAAGTTTGTTTTCAAATCTGTTTATTTTTATGAATCTATTTGAAATTTTAAAAACAACTGTTATTGGGATTAATGTTAAGCAATTTAATTAATTTGATGGTGTCATTAGACAACCTCTTTGTGCTAATAGTAATTTATGTACCCACATTTAATCATCTAAGCACTTTACTATCCATGTATAAATTATAACTAAATAAATTGCAACAGGGGAGTTAATTAACAGTAAATTTAAAAAAAATCATTTTTTTTAGATTAGGAACTAAGAAAAGAAAGGAGATCTAAATACCTCATTCCTTTTTTATGGCCGTATTGATAATGATAACAAAATACATATTTGAGATCAGACAAACATTTTATTTGCATGTTACATTGAAATTAATGTTAAGTTTTTTTTGAATAAGTTTGAAATTTCATTCATCACACTGATATCACCTTTTTTGTGAAAAATTTTAAAAAGTTGTGAAATAAACTATTGCGCCAGAAGGATCAGTCAAGGATATCTTTATAAAAATAGTTTTGCTCAACCAAAGAATGTCACTGAAAAAAACCAGACAATTTGCAATTTTACCATTGAGGAATTAAATATCTATACTTCTATGTACAGGATGGGTCACCAGTAACGCCTCGGTCGCTAGTGACCAAACGGCAAATGTTACACAAACCTGTTTAGGTGGGTATGTGTAGGTTGATTACGGCTACATTCTAAAAATATTTTGAAATATACAGGGTGTCCAGGAAAAGCGTACCATATCAAAGTTATGTTTTTTTAAATGGAACACCCTGTATTTTACTGCATTTTTGAAAGCACCGTAAAAAAATAGGTGAACTTTATTAAAGGTTCTGCATACCTAGGACTTACAGTTTGTGAGATATTTCAATTTTAGTGAAAATGCAGGCATAGCGTAGAAATTTAATATTAGCAATAAAAAAATAATTTTAAGGAAGCAGCTTTGGAGGGTCTATTTTAGATCCTTGAAGTTATAAATTGTTATATTTGTCGTCACTTAGTATTATACAGGGTGTTCAAAAAACTGCTGAATACTTCTCTCAACTTTAAACAGCAATAACTTGGTTATTTTAAATGGAACACCCAGTATATTTTTACTTTGGGAGTTGGGAAATTTAAAACTCTTTCAAACTGTGTATAGGTTCCCTATACCTATCTCTAACGGTATTGGAGATATTTGTGCCGTTTCGTTTTTTATCGATTTTTTTTTTAAGATGTATCCACGTGTCTTTATCGAGGTCTTTACTGAATTGGTTTGGGTTCTTCTTGATGACGTCTCTTTAAATATATTGAGAAAAATGAGGATGCAATTAGATGGCGCACCTGCAAATTTTTCATATTCAGTGAGAAATTATTTAAATCGAAAATTTAGTAATAAATGGATAAGTAGGAATGGTGCATGTCAGTGGCCACGTAGGTGTCCAGACCTCACCGTAATGGACTTCTTTGTTGCGAGCTATATAAAAAATCTTGTATACAATGTTCCACCTATTACTTGCGATGATATTGGAGGGAAGGATTAGAGATGCATTTGCGTGAGAATATCATTTGAAGATAGAATAAGATGCTGTATTCAGGAGAATGGTTATCAATTCGAACATCAATTAAAATTTTTCTTTGTTTTTTCTAAAAGTAAAAGTTCCTTTTATCATTATCATGAAAATATTCAAAAAAGTTTTCTAATAAAAAATATTATTTTATAAGCCGAATAATTATAAAAAGTTATTAATTTTGTATAAATATGTTTGTAGTAAGTAACTGAATTATTTATGAACATGAAAAATATTTATTAAAGAAAATTTTACTTTTAGAAGAAACAAAGAAAAATTTTAATAGATGTTCGAATTGATAACCATTCTCTTGAATACAGCATCTTATTCTATCTTCAAATGATATTCTCACATTCCTTAGAATATTTGGGGTGATTGTGGCAAATGCATATCTAATCCTTTCCTTCATATCATCGCAAGTAGTAGGTGGAACACTGTGTACAAGATATATTTTTATACAGCCCGAAACAAAGAAGTCCATTACGAGAGGTTTGGACACCTGTGGTAGCCACTGACATGAACCATTCTTACCTACTCATTTATTACTTAATTATCGATTTATATAATTTCTCACTGAATATGAAAAATGTGCAGGTGTGCCATGTATTTGCATTCACATTTTTCTCCTTATATTTACAGAGACGTCATCAAGAAGAACCCAAACCAATTCAGTAAAGACCTCGATAGAGACACGTGGATACATCTTACAAAAAAAATCGATAAAAAACGAAACGGCACAAATATCTCCAATACCGTTGGAGATAGGTATAGGAAACCTATATACAGTTTGAAAGAGTTTTAAATTTCCTAACTCTCAAAGTAAAAATATACTGGGTGTTCCATTTAAAATAACCAAGTTATTGCTGTTTAAAGTTGAGAGAAGTATTCAGCAGTTTTTTGAACACCCTGTATAATACTAAGTGACGACAAATATAACAATTTATAACTTCAAGGATCTAAAATAGACCCTCCAAAGCTGCTTCCTTAAAATTATTTTTTTATTGCTAATATTAAATTTCTACGCTATGCCTGCATTTTCACTAAAATTGAAATATCTCACAAACTGTAAGTCCTAGGTATGCAGAACCTTTAATAAAGTTCACCTATTTTTTTACGGTGCTTTCAAAAATGCAGTAAAATACAGGGTGTTCCATTTAAAAATGAATAACTTTGAAATGTTACGTTTTTCCTGGACACCCTCTATATTTCAAAATATTTTTAAAATGTAGCCGTAATCAATCTACACATACCCACCTAAACAGGTTTCTGTAAAATTTGCCGTTAGCGACCGAGGCGTTACTAGTGACCCACCCTGTATATAATATTAAATATTAATAATACAATGCCCATTCTGGATATTTTAATTTAAAAAAATAACAATTAGTTAGAAACAATTGTTTATAGAAAACCAACTCACACTAATGGATATCTTTTTAATTCAAATCAACATACTAATATAAAGAAAGGTATTGTTAAATGTTTGTATGATAGAGATTGATTTCCTGAAAAGAGGATATTTTTAATAATAAATTGAAATTCATAAAAGATAGACTAATAAATATGTAACCTGAGGGGTTATTTTTTTATTTATCTAACTACGTTATGACCAGTATCATAACGATACTGGATTTCAAAAGAGTTTACTATTAGCTTCTCGAAAGGGGGTTTATGATTATCATCTACACTTTGATTAATACTTGAGAACTTAAAAATGTTGTACTTACTATCAGATAATGAATTCCAGACACTTTCCTGAATTCGACACCTCGCTCTTTGAATATCGGGGGTTGAAATGGCTTAACTATACCATGTTAATACCTAATTTACTAAATTTACAATTGTATGGATAATTTTGAGATCAAGTAACCCTACACCTTCCTCTTGTGACTCCGTATAGCAACACAGGATGGATTAGTCAGTCTCATTTAATCTACTCTTATAGCGTGGAAAATCTGCCTAAAAACCAGCTATTTGATCTGTTATTATTTTACTCACAACATTCTAACAACTTATTTAAATATCTTGGAATTCATGTATTTCGCGCGTTATTAGAAATATCGATTTTTTTCCTTTCACCATGGGCTAAACCGACGCAGTTAGTTGATACCAGATGCCTAACACATGGCCCAACGATCTAAATCTACTTGTTCGAAATCATTGCCAAATTTCATGAGGCCTTCTCCGAAGGACTGCGATGGTCGCAAATTTATTACTCCCGGTGACAAAAGGCACTCTCTCGATGACATTATGGCGACGCTAAACCTACTTGAAAACCCTTAACCTTTCAATAATTATTGTTGACTGAAATATTTTACTGTCTGAGTTGGCCCATCCGTTCCGAGAACTAACTAATAAACTACCACGCCTCCCGGCGTTGTTAAAACTGGCAGACAAAAACAGTAGTGTATTTTTATCTTTAGTAACATTTTTCGCTGAATCCGAAAATGATAAAAAAATTCTGACATGTGGATTTCTCCCCATATACCCTCAATTTCCCATAAAAATTAAAAAAATCCAAACTAGCCATACAATCCACCTATCTTTAGCCTATAATTTTCAGCTGAATCCGAAAATGATAAAAAGAAACAATTCTGACGTATCACACACTATCAATTCTCCCCAAAAATTAAAAAAAAATCCAACCTGGCCATTCAACCTACCAATCTTTAGTAAAATTCGCTGATTTCGAAAATGGCAAAAAAATTGTTTGGACGTGAAGATCCCCCCTATCCTCACCGCATCTCTCACTTGCTTCTTTCAAAAATAAAAATATGTAAATACAAATTAGACATTTATAAAAATCTGTCGGTGAAACCAATACTAAACAATATTTTTGAACTATACCTCGACCCCAGACAGCATTTACAAATTACGGTTAGCATCCTAAATTTTTCAGTGATCGCTTACTCTTTTCCAAAATGTTTTGAGCTCTAGGTAGCATACGGAAGGTATTTTCTAAAATGTTTTAGCATTTTAATGCCGCAATCAATCAAAATGCGAGTTCAAGCCACATTCTACTTTATTAATATGTTACAATCGCATACAACGTTTTTAGTAACTGTTATACAGGGTTTGAAACGTCAAAATATCTCAGCGGGAAAGCCCTTTTGGGATAAATGGTGTGGACAAGAGTCCCAGCATTTTTCACGACACATCCGATGGTAACCTTGACCTTGAGGTCAAGGTCAAAGTACGAGGTCATATCAAAATCAAATCAGTTTTTTTAAATGGCGACCCTCCTTTTCGACCCCGGAAAATGAAAGGAGCAGAAAATTCTGCATCCGAATATGACATTGGCC